CCCCCCCCCCCCCCCAACACCACATAGTATTTTGTAATAGCTTTCATCATCATCAATACAATTATCTTTAATCATCAATTGCTCATTTTAGTTCTCTCAGTTGCTCACGATATTGGTTTTCACGCACGACACTGACAATCTAGTCTAGCGTACGGAGGGGACCTCAGTTGGCAGACAGCAACCGCACTGACATCAGTTGCTTAGCCTTATGTCTTCCTTCCAAGAAACTTCAGGAAGGTGTCGCGTAACAGTTGGTATCGGAGCCTAGGCTCGACATTGGACGAGGGAAAACACTACCATTACCACCATTTTTTACCATGGTGAATTACGGGGATCGCATCATGACCCTAGAAGAGACGGTTAACGTATTGCGGCCCATCGTGGATACAATTCCTGATCTAAAAACCAACCTAGTGCAAAGGTTGGACGACTTGGACCGCAGAATGTGGCAGGCTGAAGTTGATATAGCAAACATCAGTCGCGACTCTGAGAAAGATTGGCAAACGGCAGTCGTAGAGGCAGTCGAAATTCATGAAAAATTTGAGGACCTCCAACAGGAGCGTGCCGAGGATTTAGCCTATCGGGATCTAGAGGCATACAGAATGACTGCCATGCAGCAAACCATAGACAACTTGACAGTCCAGCTTAATGTTGTCAATGCTTCCCTTTAAGGCCTGCTCAAAGGAGGTGAAAACCAAATCAGGGGTGCCATGAGCATTGCCCTTGTGCAACAAAAGCTGAAAATCCCGGAGCTAAAGCCATACAATAGAGATCGGGATGCTAAAGAAGTGAAAAAATTTGTCTTCGACATCAAATAGTACTTCGATGCCATAGGATAGTTGGAAGAAGCCAAAAAGGTAGCAACTGCTGCCATGTATCTTCAAGGCAATGCTAAACTCTGATGGCGAGTGAAATACGAAGCCATTAGGGCCGGTGAAGATACTCTCCAGACATGGGAAGAACTGAAGGTAGCCATACGCCTGCAGTTCTTCGCCGAAAACATGGAATACAATGCACGGAGAAAGCTGCGTGAACTCCACCAGACCAGGTCAGTGCAGGATTACGTGCGGGAATTATCCGCACTCATGCTAAACATACGGGATATGGGGGACAAAGACAAACTATTCGCATTCATAGAAAGTTTGAAACATCATGCTCATATGGAGCTGCAAAGACAAAGGGTAGATACCCTGCCCAAGGCCATTCAAGCTGCAGAGTGCCTTGGGGATTATCATATGGAAACTCATAAGGATATGCCTCAACCACCTATCCGTGCGGGATACAACGGGAGCCAGCCTAGCAACGATGGCCCTAATAGAAACGGAGGAGATCGAGGTGCATCCAAATCTAAGACTCCTTCCTCAAGCAGCAACAGTGATGCATCAGTCAACAACAATTCGGGGAGAAATCCCCCTTTAGAATGTCGTCATTGCGGCGGGGAACATTGGAACAATCAATGCCCACATACACAGATCAATACTCATCAGACTGTTGAAGATGGGCCAGACCATGATGACTCAGACAACACAGAGCAAATAGGTGCCTTCAATGCAATTGTTGGCTCCATCCTTGATACCTTAGCGGAAACCAGTGCTGGTAACCCTAAGAAGAACGCATGCCCAATCGCCAAGAAAGGGAAACAAGAGGAAGATGAGAGGCCTACCACCACACCAAAGAGGGCCTTAATGTTCGTCGATATGAAAGTAAACGGCAGACCCATTCGGGCAATGATAGACATGGGTGCTGCCCACAACTACTTAGCCTTGACTCAGGTGGAGCGCCTTGGTCTAGATGTGCAAAAATGCAAGGGCCGTGTCAAGGCTATCAACTCACCATCCCAGTCAGTGAGTGGAATATCCAAAGAAGTGCCAATGAAGCTTAGCCCATATGAAGGAATATTCACCCTCCGTAGAGCAGTCATCGATGACTTCGAACTGATAGTGGGAATGGAATTCCTGAGGTAAACCAACACCATACCGGTACCATATGCCGACATGCTCCTGATGATGGGAGATAACGGGGCCAAACCCCGCATCATAAAATGCATACCCATAAAGATGGCCGCTGAAAACATCTCGGCCATGCAATCAAAGAAGGGAGTCAAAAGACCTAAACCTATGGCTCCGGCTGCCCTCAACATCAAGAATCAAAAACCATATCATCGGCGTCAAACAACTCATGGCGCCCCTCAGTGTGTGAAGACTTGTCAAGCATTCCAAAAGGACAAGTCGGATCGCTCAGGACAAGCAAGACCCTTGGAGCCGCTACCTGTCCCACAAAGACCTTAGGAAAGCATTTCCCTGAATTTCATCACATGATTACCCAAGGTTGGAGATCTCGCAACCATCTTGGTGGTAGTAGACCGGTTTCCAAGTATGATACCTTCATAGCATCCCCGCAGAACATATCGGTAGAAGATACATCTCGACTCTTCTTCTCTCATATTGTCAAATATTGGGGCCTGCCAAAAGACATCATTAGTGAATGCGACTCCCGCTTCACTAGCAAATTTTGGACCCATCTCTTCAGGAGCCTCGAATCCAAATTGAGTCCTAACTCAAACTTCCATCAACAAGAAGATGGCCAGACAGAATGGTTCAATGACATGCTGGAGGAATATCTCTGCCACTTTGCAACCGAATCACAGAAGAATTGGGTGAAGCTGCTGGATGCTGCTCAGTTGTGTTTCAATTCACAAAAGTGTTCCCCTACAAATAAAAGCGCTTTTGAAATTGTTACCAGACAACAACCACTACTCTCACAGACTGTGAATGCACCAAACATGCCAATATTGCCTCAAGCTGTAAACTTTGGAGATAGTGCGGAGCTATCTTGTCAAGGCCCAAGAGAGGGCCACGAGGTATGCTGAACAAAACCTTCGCTTTGTCTAACATCAAGCAGGAGACAAAGTAATGGTAAGAATCCTGAAGAGGTACTTGTTTGCAGAGAGGAACCATGACCCTCGCCTATTACAAAGATACATCAGACCCTTGTCCATTGAAAGACGCATTGGGAAATCCACATATCAGCTGAATACACCAGCCTGGTGAAATATCCATCCAGTCTTCCATGTCAGCCACCTCAGATCATTTCAGAAATACATGGAACAATATTCAGAAAACCACCTCACAAGACCGAGGGGAACATACCTCCCAGCCAACAAAAGCCTGACCAATCATCATCCTGCAGGTAAGGCTCTGAGGATGTCGCCAACTCAGGTGGGGGAGAATGTCATGGGCTGCTTTCCATCATCGACCCATGACCACTTGGAAGCCCCGTGGCATCCTGGAAAGCCTTGTAACGCCTAGCACCATGGTCAGCCCCATGGTCTCGGCAGTGCCAAATGACAAGCGCGCATGTGCCTCTGTCTCCCCACCGATAATCCTTGCCAGCGCCCAGCAGCTGGGAATGCCAACAATGCAGCGAGCACAGACAATGCCGCGCGCACAGACCATCATGTTGCCAATAGCATCGCGCGCACAGACAGTGTCGTGCGCGCAGATCTGATGCCAAGCGCCAGCACCCAGCCGAAGGCATATCCAAATAGTGTTGTGTGCACCGATAGCAATGCGCGCGCTGGCCCTGATGCTCAAGACAAAGTTGCTGCCATCGGACTTGATTCTACCTTGTAGAAGACTAAGTCATTTTCATTGTAATTATAGAGTAGTTTTACTTTATTTTCTTTCAGTGTGCTTCTACAACTTTCATAGGTCAACTCTTCTAACTTTGGTTTTTTTTTTAAGCATTATTAAGGGAGACCAAAGCATTCAAACATTCAAGCAAGCAAACATTTCTCTGTACTGGTGTCTCTCCCTCCCGACACCGCATAGCATTTTGTAATAGCTTTCATCATCATCAATACAATCATCTTTCATCATCAATTTCTCATTTCAGTTCTCTTAGTTGCTCACGATATTGGTTTTTCCGTACAGCACTGACAATCTAGTCCAGCATACGGAGGGGACCCCAGTTGGCGGACAGCAACCGCACTGACATCGGTTGCTTAGCCTTACGTCGCCCTTCCAAGGAACTTCAGGAAGACACCGCATAACAATAATGACGTATAGGCAAGGTGACGAGTACCTATATATCGTCAAATTGATTGTTTGCATATTTTTCTAAAAATCATAAATTATTTTAAATTATGATTTGATTATTATATTAATTATTTCTCTCATATTTCTTGTCCAATATTATGTCCTGAATTCATGATATAATTGCTACATGCTTATTTGAATTATGTGTCTTAATTGCTACTTGACATTTAGTATATTAATTATTAAATTGCCTATTTTCTCCTTGATTTTCACAATTAATTGTTACTTGTCATTACTTGTTTCCTAAATAAATCATAATGATTGTATGTTTTGTTGCCTAATAATTGCTTATTACATGTGGTATTTATTGGAGTATTTTTACATTTAAGAGTTGTTTAATTATATTGTTGGAGAGGGTTGTACGCCGCAACATATTTATTTTAAGTTTATATTGTTAGAGCGGGTTGCATGCCGCAACGGATTTATTTTAAGTTTATAATGTTGGAGAGGGTTGCATGCCGCAACGGAATTAAATTGAAAGATTATATTATTGGATCGGGTTGCACGCCGCGACGAATTTTATTCTAAGTTTATATTGTTGGAGCGGGTTGTACGTGTCATGTCCCAATCTCGGGGAGTGCGACTGGAGCTCAATCGAGTGGACCCGGTCGAGCAAGCCTGTTAGATACTTTCTACCCAACTCACCCATGATCAAGAGAAGACATGATTTCATTAATTAGACAGTAGGAAGATAATAAATACAATACTGAATTGTCTCATTGGTTACATCATTTTTAATTTTTAAGATACACACATTCTTATGATTCGAGTGGAACAAGAGATCAAAATATAACATAATCTATTTGACTTTTATAGCACCCATGTACAACCCACATAGTGTCCACGAAGCCTCTAAAAGATACAAAAGAGTTTTATGATAGTGCCGGCAATAAGGCCCCGGCTATACCTCAAAACATGATAATAATATGAATAAAAGATACAATACATGACCCCGGGATGAAGTGAGGCTCACCAAGTCTGTTGGGAAGATGATGTACCATTATCGCTGATCAACACTGCCTACTATGGAACCACCTGTATCTATTTAAAGATGTAGTGCCCCCGGCAAAAGGAACGTTAGTACTGTCAAATAGTACTAGTATGTAAAACTAAACATCATCTCAATAGAATGAATAATAATACAAAGGGGAAACAATCATGAGTTTAATATGAGCTTCAAACAAGACTAAAACATCAAGTAAGGATCACATAAGTTCTCAAGTCAATTTTCATGTTATTAGGTTGGGTGATCTTTAGTACCGATATACCATAATTCATAATACCACCGTATTCTTACATGGAGTCCGATCATGACCCGACCGGCTAGGTCGTCTCATTTGAAACATCAACCGTAACCACAATTTCAATTATCATTTCCATCACAATCACCACCATGTGTGCGGCATGGCATCCGATCACGGCCCGATCGGCTAGGCCGTCTCACCCGAGACATCACCTTTTCAATCAATCATCTCACTTCATACTTCTTTCACATCTTTTCAATTCATTGGCACGAGTGGCCTCAATTAGAAATTCATTCTTGGCACTTGGCCGTATTTCATAATTCCAGTTTCCCCTTTCCACATTCAAACATCATTATCATCATCAACAATAATAAGGCCTACCATTTAAGGCATTAGTACACATATGAGCAACTTGGGAATCCTAAGCACATAGAGGCTTTTCATACCATTTGGCATAACAACCTTTATTCGATCTTGACATAAAGTCTTAACATTTCTAACACACATTTCACATTTTGAACACATCCTCAAATGGCAAGATGACATGATGAAGCATTTAGAATAAATATTGAGCATACATCCTTCAACACAAACACATTAAGAATAGACAATTCTGTAATGATCAATTTAGGACTTATACCAATTACATGAACACCATGGGGTTTGATTCTAAGAAGAGGGGGGTTTAGCCAACATACCTCAATTGAGCTTCCTTAAACTTTTAAAACATTCTGAAATTCTTAGCAACTTCAATCTATTTTAGAAATATAACAAATTGAACCAAAATTAGGAAGATGGTCATGATTCTAGCTCATTTGAGCACATTATCAAACACTAGGTGTGCATTAATATTTTTAAGGCCCTTTTAGGAAAGATTCTATCATTCCTCAACCCATTCTATACTATTTATTTTTTAGCTCACAACCTTCCCACATACTTCAAGAATACATGCATGCAAGATAACAACCCCCGCACCCAATAATTGTCTTTCTAATTGTGATGACCCAAAATATCATTTTTAAATTTAATAAGTAATTATATGTTCTAAGACTTCAAAAAGTACCATTTATCATTCCTCAACTTACGTGCGCAGTCCGTACAATTTTTCGGAAAGTTTTTATATGAAAAATGGATTAAAATGGGAAATAGAGCTTTAAAATTCAAGTGAGTTGACCTTAGTCAACATTTTTAGCAAATGAACCCGGATCGGTATTTTGACAGTTCCGATAACTCCGTATCGTGATTTGGGGCTTGGGCGTATGCCCGGAATTTAATTTGGAGGTCCCTAGCTCAAGTTATGACCATTTAACGGAACTAGCAATTTAAAGGCTAAATGTTCCAAGTTTGACCATGGGGTTGACTTTTTGATATCGGAGCCAGAATACGATTCTGAAAATTTGAACAGCTCTGTTATGTCATTTATGACTTGTGTGCCAAATTTGAAGTCATTCCGGATTCATTTAATATGTTTTGGCACGAGATTTGCAAATTTAGAGTTTAAAACTCAAAGTTCGAATCGGGATGTGAATTGTAATTTCAGTGTTGTTTGACGTTATTTTAGACCCCGAGTCAGTTCGTATTATGTTACGGGACTAGTTGATATATTCGAGCGGGGTCGCGAGTACTCCGAGAGTGAAACGGATCGAAATCGGAACAAGAATTGGACTTAAGCAAAATCTGAAATTTTGAGTTCTGGTGTAATCGCACCTGCGGAATTTTGACCGCAGGTGCGATTACGTAGAAGCGAGACATCCATCGCAGATGCGGTCTTCGCAGCTGCGGCCCTTTTGCGCAGAAGTGGACGTCGCAGGTGCAACATTTTGTCCGCAGGTGCGGAAACTCGCCTGACAGCCCTACTTCACAAATGCGAGCTTTGTCTCGCAAATGCGAGCCCGCAGGTGGGAAAATATAGCCCGCAGATGCGAAAATGCTGGGCAGAATACATAAAATCGGGTCTTAGCCATTTTTACTCATTTTTGAGTTTTAAGTCTCGGATTTGGGCGATTTCAAGAGGGATTTTCACGACTTTGAACTGGGTAAGTGTTCTTTATCATATAGTGATTGTATTTCACAAATCCATGTCTATATTCATCATTTATTTCGGATTTAGATGGAAGAAATTGAAATTTTTGTAAAACTTTTCAAAAATAAAAAATTAAGATTTGAAGGTTCATTTGATATCGGAATTGGACAAATTTGGTATGGTTGAACTCGTATCGGAATAGGTATTCGGATTTTGTGAGTTTTTCTGGGATTTGAGACGTGGGTCCCACTGCCGAATATTTTAATGAATTTCGAATTTTTATCCGAAAAATTTATAAATTCATATGGAATTAATTCCTATGATTAGTATTGAATTGTTTGTGAATAGATTTGAAGCTTTCGGAGGCAAATT